TTCGCTGGCACTTACGTCATGCAGTTGATGCTACGCTGGGGATGGGGTTGGGGTTGGGTGGGGCATGTTAACGTTCGCTGGCACTTACGTCATGCAGTTGATGCCACGTTGGGGATGGGGGTGGGGTTGGGTGGGGCATGTTAACTTTCGCTGGAACTTGCGTTCGTGGGGTGAAGAAAACCAAGACACTCTAGTAATCTTCTACTTCTACTTGCTAGTAAGCTTATAAGACAGTTGCTTGCTCGCTCGCCCGCTCGCCGGCTCGCTTGCTTGCTTGCATGATGCTCAAAGAAAGATTTTTCTTTTGGTTTCCGTATGTCCGTGTTGCAATGTACGATGTTCTTCTCGAATTGCTGGCTCTGGTGCTTCTTTTGCGGTTGGCTGGGAGCCTCCGCCGTGTGTGGAGTTGTTGCCCTGGTGGACTGTGGATGCACTTGAGCTAGACGCTCTTCACGATGTGCTTTGGCTTCACGATGTACTTTCAGGTCTGTTCCCGTTCCCAAGCATTTGAGCAGTGTTGCAGGAACCCAGTGCATTGACCGACACTGGCGGTCGGTCAAAGAGTTCATTGGGGCCACGTTTCCAAGAAAGATCAAAGGTCTGCTTGGATCGAAAGTGCACCCCGGAATTCCCGACCTTGTGCACCAGTGGCTGTACAGATCTTGGCATTGCTCTGAAACTCCTGCTTGTGTGTACGAAGACTTGACGAACTTTTGGCGGCAAAGGTGATAAAGTGAAGCGGAAAGCAAACGCCAAGTCGAGGTGATAAGGTGAAGGTGAAGTAGTTTTTTCCAGAATTTTAGAGTCATGGATTTTCGCCCGAAAACAAGAATGTATTGTAAAAACCAATACGAACACAACCTGTCATCATGCTAAAACACAGCGGCGTTCTATCAGCCGCCTACCATGTAGTTTCTATCAATAAGAATCAAGTTCAATTTGTGTAGCCAATCTAAAAACTATCCTGTTGGCAACAAAATACACCTTACGAATGACAATGACATAATGACATACAGTGACTATACAAACTACTGTTATATAAGTTATATATATATATATCCTTTCAATTCCTACTCTCGACTCTCTCCTAGGTTGAAACAATAAACCTCTACAATGATAAGCGATAAACGTCCTTCTCGACTATTGCAATAATAAACCTCTCCTTCTCCTGTACAATAAAATATATTACAGTAATATTTAAACCTCTCTGTCTAGCTGTCCAACTTAAAGGTCCGACGTTACATGATTGCGACGAACAAATTCCTCCCCCCATTCGTCGCTAGGGGGCTTATCATTGAGGTGTGCACATTACTACCTTGGGATTAGTAGTAATTTGGTATGCATACACATCAATTCAATTAGTGAGCCACGTTTTCCAATGTTGGCACTTAAGAACGGATCCTACCACCCAAGCACTGATCCACAGCCGGCAAGATCACTATAGCTTCTGCATACCTTAGAGGCTGAAATGCACAGGATGATGACCCACTCCGTCTGCCACGCCAAGAGTTCCTGCGGTAGTTTTTCGGCGCGGGGGTCCTTGAGTGGTCCTTGGTAACAGTTCACAACTTGAGTCGTCCAGTCTGAGCATTCCAATACACATCTCGTTGAGTCTGAGCATTTGTTTCACATACTTTCTCTCTGACCTGGGGGCACCTGACGGGACGCACCTGGGACCACGTGTCCAACATGGGAGACTGAAAAGAACCTCAATTGAAGGAACTCTCCGTGTGACCACGACGATGGTGTCTGTGCAAGCCAGGCCTGCTTGAAGGGATGATGGAGTTGACTCAATGATTCGCTACATTCCTTTGCAGTTGCCAGTAAAATCCTGAGATTTGTTCCGACATTTTCAACATTTGACACATTTTGACACCCTTATGACTCCAACCCAAACTTTGCATGTTAAGATCCTCCATTCAGTCAAAGCGATTGAGCGGCTGTGGTGCGATTGGCCCCTGTCTAGTTGCTTTTAAGATGGGTTTAGGATGTCTTAAGTGTCGAATATCACAAACTGGGCCCAGGTACCTTCAATAATTTTGCCCCAAGCACTCTGCAAAAGGTCTATTGTGATGGTATATGATCGTGTACAGTGGCTGTGCGTACCTACAACTCTTTGTCCCTTCTGGTCACCCATGATGTCAGGGCATTCAGGACACCTTTGCCACCTGACCTCGCTAGTAGGTTGCTAATGTTAGTTGCTAATGTTAAGTTTCCCTAAATATCTAGGAACCAAATCATTAGCGCGAGCTCTGCTGCATCCTGTCGGTAGTAGCTACTTGTAGCTACTAGAAGCGGCCTACCCCCCCCTAAAGAAAAGATCTCCTCAATTTGTTTCTATGATTGCTAAATAAGCTACTAGGAACAAGTGCATCGCTTCTAGTAACAAGTGCCTTACTACTAGTAACAATGTTTGCTATTTGAAACAATAATTAGTAATGAGAATCAATTGTCAATAGAGAAAAGATCTCCTGAATTTAGTTTCTAATAGCAAACATTGTTACTACTGGTAAGGCACTTGTTACTAGTAGCGATGCACTTGTTCCTAGTAGTAAGGCACTTGTTTCTATTGCTAAAACATGCTAAAACCATCTAAAACCAGTCGACTCCGGTGGTTCCGGTTCACCCGGTGCTGCAGGGCGTTCTCCTCGCAGATCTTCTGGAGATCCTGGGAGAGATTGGTGGGCCAAAGATTCTTCTCTGAATGAATGACAAAGAATCAAGATGATTGAAATTCCTTCCTTGGATTTTGGATGACAAATGATGACAGGGAGCTATTCCATTGTTCATGGACAAACATGGTATATGTCACCGTGGGTTTGGCATCGCCATGCATTGCCGTGTGATACACCGATCTCACTGGCAAACCACCCTGGGTGCCCAGCGTCTGACGGGCAAACCCAAAAGGAGCGCAGCTTCTTTCCGTTCCTCGGAATCGGCCCGACCAGCGATGGCCTCCACCCTAGTAGCGATGGCTGAAGCAAGCAGTAACAAGTGCATCGCTACTAGTAACAAGTGCCACGCTAGTAGGAACAGGTGCCTTACTACTAGTAACAAGAAGCAATTAATTTAATTTTACTTAAATTCTTATTGTTATTAGTAGCGATGCACTTGTTACTAATAGCTTCTTGTTACGACTAGTAAGGCACTTGTTACTAGTAGCGATGCACTTGTTCCTAGTAGCTTCCTACCCCCCCCCACGCGCGTCACCACACCTTGCCAGCTCGACTTTGACCGTTGTACATCGAAATCCATGGATCATACGTACATGCAGGTATAGAGTGGCTTCCCTGACCGGTTGACAATCTCATGTGCACAAAGCAAAACAGGTCAAAAGAGGTTTCGAGTTGGAAACGCTGTCCAAACTTGTCAAACAGGTCATGCTGAGGCAAGTATACAGTACTAAGGCGCATCAAAGCGCACTGTGGGAGTTGCATAGGACATTTAAGAGTCATTGTGGAGTATCTGCAGAATTGCATGTTTTCTTGTCTTGGGAAGCTGTGACTGACTTGCAAGCAGTTTGTTGGAAATGCCTTACATTATTTGAGTTCACCCCAGCAAGTAGCCATGAATGAAGTTTGAAGAAACTAGCATCCATATGCATCCATCATACCCTGAGTTTGCCACGAGGAACCCGTTCATCAAAACATATGATGGGGAGATGTTGAGAGCAAGGACGCTACTAGGGGCTCCTGGCCGTACTACTAGTAACACGAAGCTACTAGGGGCTCCTGGCCTCGCTACTAGGAGCAAGGACGCTAATAGTAGCTCCTGGCCGCACGAGTAGGTCCAAGCAGCAGGGCGGCTGCCAAGTTGTTCCGTTCGCTCCAAGGCAAGGCTTGCCGCAGCCTAGCGCGAGGGGGGACACCCTTCTCCAGCACGCCATGTTTTGTGCCTCCATTTGTAGGAAACACAAATAGTGCCTTGCTGTATATGGACCATAGTCTGCTGGGGGCCCGCTTCTAAACCAAGGCCTAAAACACATCTCTAACATTCTCTAACCTTAAGAATTGACATTATCTTTTTAGGGGGAGTATGGTCTTTTGAGCGCGGTCCACATGGAAACACATTCATGAGTACCTTGTTTCCCACGAAGGTTGGATTCAAGGAAAGGTTCCCACCTCCACGTGTGCACAGAATCCCAGCCAAACGCTCGCAGCCTTTTGCCTCGATTCGCGCCAGAATTGTCCGCGACAATTCGCGCTTTTGACCTGCTGAAAACGATGAGCCCCCCTTTTCGGAAGGCGACATCATCCCAGCGACCAAAGCGAGGACATCGTGACTTGAGTGAGTCGCAAATAAAGGTCTCACCTTCTTTGTGACACACACAAGCACACACGCACTTGAGGCCATGCACCTCCTACAAAGGGGGGGGTGCAGGCCCTTGTCAAATGGAGGGGCAAGAATCAAACAAAGAAAGCTAGCGAACATCGGTATTTTGACCGAGTCGGCTGAGCTCCAGTCCCGGATGGCTATGATGAGACGTGTATAGCCAACACAACAACCCAAGTAACAAAGAGCGACTTGTTTCATCTTGCTTAACAATTCTCAACAAATGACTTCTATATCGATCAAACTGAGCAAGTCCCCTGAAGTCCACCGAATTCGTGGACTTCGCAGGACAGCCGCAGCTTGTGTGGAGATGTGCGGAGGCTGGCTTCTTCAAGACAACCGGGTACAACGTCTGAGTGACCGCCGACATATTCACGGCGGTGCTTGACATGCTGGTGCTGGAGGTAGAAGTATTGGCTCATGATCTGATGAGATTAGCTTGCTTCTCAGTATGACCATTAGGGAATTAAATCATATCAAATCCATCAACAGCATGTGATGGAAGCTGCAGGGTTTGGAAAGTAAGTCCCCTTTGAGGGTGGACCCGAGGACTTTAATTACAGCCAAAAGCTCTCACTTGCCATTACGGATCCTGTTGGACTGAAGGCATCGCTCCCACATGTGCTCGACTGAAAGGATGTGGACTCATTGCTCTTGACGTCCCAGTCTTTGTCCTTGTCCGGTAGGTCAAGGAAGGCCTCTGGAGGCGCCAAGCCAGGAGGGGGTCGGAAGGAGCTCCGAGCCCTGGACTGCGAAATCCATCCTTCCAATTCAGACATCAATGACCGGAGCTCGGAGCTGGGATCTGGCGCTGAGATCTTCACCTGCGAGTTGACCGAAGCGGACCGCCCGGTACGGTGGTTTTGGAGGCGAACGCGCACGTGAGGTTTATTCGTTTCACTGCCTTTTGGTTGAAGGTTTGGGAGCCCAAATGAACTGCTATCGATAAGAAGAAATGCTGCTTTGCAGTTCGGCACATGGGAGCCACAGTTCACCCTTAAGAACATGCTCTGTTTGTACTATCAAGGGACAAATAGTGAAGTCCAAGACTCTTTCCGCTTACTGGTATAGCGGTATAGCTATGTATATAAGCTATATTGCCATTGCAATGATGGTCATTCTGAGGGCCAAAGTCGCCCCAATACCAAAACATCGGTCGACAAAAACATCGGTCCACTCCTTCATGGGTTCTTCGAGCTCTTTCGCGTCCTCCTTGGAGTGTCGAAGCTCCGTCTTCCCATGTGCAAAGGTGCATGCTGCGCCTTTGGTGCAGGTGCCCTTCGACATGAACTGAAAGCATAGCTGAGTTCCAACCTCAAGTTCGACGTGTGCACGTCTTGCACATCACAATATGTCGCGACATTGAAGACCGACGAAGACCAAAACGATTGCTTTGAGAGGGGAAGCTACTATAGTAACAAAGGGCATTGCTACTAGGAGCAAGAAGCTACTATAGTAGCTCCTGGCCTTATTACTACTATATAGTAACAAGACGCTACTAGTAACAAGAAGCTACTAGGGGCTCCTGGCATCGCTACTAGGAGCAAGGACGCTACTAGGGGCTCCTGGCCGTACTACTAG